CCTTTTCAGAACCAATGGGGTTTTTTCCACTTGAGGGGACTAGTAGTTTGCAAGAGTATGGTGACCCTTGTTTTAACTCAGCTAAATCGACCTCACTTTCTTCGACGGTTATAGGTTCGTCGAACGTTTCTGGATCTTCATCGTTCATTTCGACATACGCTATCCTTTCTCTTTTATGAGTTTTCGTCGCCCTGGCTTTTTCAGCTTTAAGGCGTTCTACCTGTCGAACCCTATCGGCCAATTGGGCCATGTCCCTCAGGTACTGAGTGTCTAATTTCTTCCTAATGGAGTAATCTAGACCTCCTGTGGCTATTTCGACTAACTCATGTTCTGGCACTTGCGTAAAGCATCTTGTCTTGAGCAATCTAAACCTATTTAGGTATTCGTCTATAGGCTCAGTGAATCTCCTCTTTACACTGGCCAACTCTTTCAGGCTTATCTTGGTTTGTCCCATGTAGAATTTCTCATGGAATAATCTCTCCAACTGGGTCCAATGGTGGATTGAATTGGGGGGGGGGGGGGGGGGAGAGTTGTGAAACAAGTAAACGCATTCTTGGTTAGGGAACTTGGGAAATACTTAATCCTCAGGTTCTCATTGTTTGAAATTTCTCCTGCTTCGATTAAATATCTCGCCACATGTTCGACAGTGGATTCTGTGGTGTCCCCTGAAAACTTAGTGAACTTCGGGACTTTGCATCTAGGAGGCAAGTCCGTTTATAACACATATTTCGACAGCGGGGATGTGAAGTTGGGCCTACGGAAGCCCGTATTCATCCCATTTTGCATCATGATTCTTCCAATCATGGCTGTCAAGTTATTCTCCAAACCAACATTCTGGTATTGGATCTGCTGAACTACTTCGTCAACGTTTTGGTTTCTATTAACCATCCTTATTTCCGGGGCTATGACTCTAGGCTCTTCGACCCCGGGTTGCTCCCTTTGTACTCTAAGGTTCTCTTCGACAGGCTGCTGGACTTGGTTAATAGTGGTTTCTTCCTCTAGAAGTATGCCTTGGTTCCCCCTTATTTGTGCCCTTTGAGGCTGTCGAATAGGTTGGGGTACCCCAAAAAAGTCAGCCAGACGCGACATTTGCGCTGTCATTTGCTGATTCGACTGGGTGGTATTCTGTATTAGAGGATTTAGCATTGTACTTAAAGTTTGCGTCAACATTTGAACCATGTCGTGGTTGCTTTCGTCCATTTGCTGCCTCAAGACTGCTGTCGAGGCATTCGTAAGGCCATGCATTACTTGGGACGTTCCTCCTAAGAGTTGGGTCCTACCCCTGTTCGCCATACCAACCCCAGAGCCTTGGAGTGGCGAAGAGGCGCTCACTAAAGGATCTGAAAAAGTGGACGTAGCATTCGTCAGGCTAGCCAATTCAGAAGTTGGCATGCCATAGAGTGGTTCTCGATTTAAACCGACTGTTGAAAAGCCTGGGGGAACATATGGCCTAGTTCCTTGGTTTCCCCTTGGTGGGGGAGTTCCCAAAGGCATTCTGGGGCCTGTAAATGGAGGTAATGGCCCCGTTTGTGTAACCGTTACTGCTGGCGTTGAACCAACGGTTACCACTTCACTTACGGTTGGGATAATCGTTGCTCCCACGTTTGTCTGTGGGATTTCTCCGTTATTTGGCGGATTCGCCATTTCTTCACTTCTTCTCCTAGTATTGGTTTCGTTGGTGTACATTCTACCACTTCTCAATAACATGCAATACTCTCGAAAAAGGAGGATATTTTATATAAAACGGTTAATCGTAAGAAAATCAACACAAAGTCCCACCAGGTGTGCCAATTTGTTTACCGGGAAAAATGGTAAACAACCGTTGATCTTCCAAAAGGTTACTTATTTGGTGACTAGCAGGATCGATCAGATTGATCCTAAGACATGGTTGATTTGTTGTAGTTCGACTAATCCTAATGGTGATTAATGCCAGTAAAGTAAAGACACTTTAAGTAAATTGCATGGAGAAAAGCTTGATAGAATAAATAAAAGCGTTAAGGAATTGTTAAATAAAAGGCTTCGACGGAAGTAAATAAATGAACAACGGTAAATTTCTTGAATATAAAAGATTTTGATTAATTTAAATGGTGTTTCACACATACATTCTCAATGATTCTTTCTCTCACGCTGGGTACTTGAATCTAAATGAGTGACTTGTATAAAATGATGAACACACTAATAACTACATAAAAACTTAGTATTTATACTAAGAAAAATCCTAAGTAACCGCTAGGTAGTTACACCGCTTCGAGATGATGCCACATGGCATGCTCACAACCTTCGACGCCTATGTTCTCGACACGTTGCACTTGGTAACTGCTGGGAACCGTTTTCCCTCCAATAATTCAAACCTCAAACCGTTTGACCTTGGGCATCAGGGACCTTTGTCGAGAGGTTCCTTCGACGTCGAAGACAACAAGATTCCAACTTAAAGGAATTTCTCTAAGTATCTTGTCATTCTTTGATGAGCCTTCGACATGATCAGTTGGTCGAAGCCTTCTTATGTAGGAAACTCTTCTGACTCATAATTAATGGTCTATATGATAATAAACATGGGTGTCGAATTTAGGAGCCAACACAAACATAAAAAATGCTTTTAAAATAATTAACTATTTAGTTTAATTATTGATTTTTATTTTTATTGAAAAAAATAAATTTTAAAAAATTAATATTTTATTCGGGCGGGTGCGGGAAAACCTATTTTTTATTGGGGGTGGGGACGGAATAACAAATATTAACTCCGATTGAGTTTCGGGGCAGGGGCGGGTCTGGGTGACGGATGCGGGTCCGGGTGTGCTTAAACCCGCCCCGTTACCATCCCTATTATTAGTTCTATAAAACTTTTTATTTTTAAATATTTTAATACCACAAGTTAAAAATAATATACTTAATAATGTCTATTAATATCAATATTGATTTTTATTTAGGCAATTAAAATATTTTAGAATTTAATTTTTTTTATATATATAAATTTTATTTACGAGGAACTTATAATATAGTAGCAATATCTTTTTATCTTTTTATTATTCTCTTTTTTTTTATGGTTTTTAAAAATCATTAATATAAACATTAAAATTATAATTAAATTGTATGCCATTAATTTTATGAATATATTTTAAAAAAATAATTTTATTATTTTTTATGAATAGAAATAAATTAGAATAACAGAATCATATGTATTATTGTAAATCAGAATTTTATAAATTACATTTAAGTGTGTTATTGGCAAAATCAGTTGGGTCGTCTCATATGTATTATGATGCGAGATATTTAAGAATCAAAAGTTTCTTCGATACAATAAAATGCGTGTATTCATTTCTAAAGGAAAATTTTGGAATGTTGATATTTTTTATATAACATATTTAATGTGATATTGTGAATCAATACATCAATCATATAGACCATTTAAATATTTTATGATATTAACTAATAACAAACCCGTGCTATCGCACGGGTCTCGTCTGGATTCACATTACATTTATAGATTATTAAATTATTAAGTATGTTACCATGTTTTCAGTTGAGTATATGTCTCATGTAAACCATGTTGGCATTTAACTCCATATTTGTAGCAAGCGTCGGTCCTATCAACAAATCACGTCTGCATGAACAAATAGGAAAAATTATATACTTCTTGAAATACATGGAAAATGTACATACTATATATTTTAATTCAAAATAGATTTTTAATTTGAATCGTAAAGTATAAGATATAAAATTTACCAACTATCAAAGTGTTTGAAAGACTTCCTTGTACACAACATTAGTAGTAGTAGAACACGGTACATTCTCCTTGTCATGAATTAGGATTTTTAGCCCACTTTTGCTCTTAACTCTTGAAATTGCAACATATAATTGACCATGACTAAACACAGGAGTAGGCAAATACAATCCAACACTATCAAGAGATTGACCTTGTGACTTATTAATTGTCATTGCATAGGAGACAATAATCGGAAATTGTCTCCTAATCAACTTGAATAGCCAAGGTGAATCAGAAGGTGACATAGACATTCGTGGAATGTAAAAAATGTTACCTATGTTCTTTCCAGACATGATTTTTGCCTCAATGATATGATTTTCAAATCTTGTAACAATTAATCTTGTTCCGTTGCACAACCCATCGGCTTGGTCCAAATTTCTCATTAGCATAATAGGTGTACCAACCTTCAATTTGATCCTATGATTGGGAAGCCCTGACGTTCTTAATTTACTGAGAAATTCAGGAGTTAGAACTTCGTATGCTTCAGTATAACTTGAATTTGTTCTATCAATGGAATCAAAACTCAAATACTCTTTCTCTTCTCCTAAAAAAAAGTTTAAAAGCAAAACATAAATAAATTAGTAAAACTATGTTCTTATATATATATATATATATATATATATATATATATATATATATATATATATATATATATATATTATGAATGTAATAATACAGTAAATATAAAACACATGTACCTGGTATCAAGTCTAATACATAATGATTGATTTTGTCCACAACTTCAATGGTTGAAGCAAGAATAGCCTTTCCTTGTAAGAATTCAACATCTTGATATTTTTCCAACAAATTGGGATATGTGTTTTCAACAATTGCTCTTATAGGATCATCAAAATTTGATATTAATAGCTCTTGAGGAATTTCAATATCAACCAAACCATCATTGGGTTCACAAATCTTACCATCACCCACATTTAAAATCCATTTTGAAAATTCCGCTAGTTCATTAGAACTTGTGTTGTCTCTTCCCTCTTGAAGTCTCATATTTTTTGATAGTGTTAAAACCTGGCAATAATCCCATACATAAGATGAACTAATTGATGCATGAACAATATCAGAACGCCCAGCTCTTGGAACAACAGGAAGAATCTGTCTAAAATCTCCTCCAAATACAACAACTTTTCCACCAAAAATAGTATTCTCAACACCCTTTTTGCTCATTACATCTTTAAGGGTTTTATCCAATGCTTCGAAGCAGTTCTTGTGAGACATAGGTGCCTCATCCCCATAAAGTACACTGAACGAAAGATTTGCTGCTAGGAAAACAGATCCAATAAAAATGAAGTCAAAGAATAAAATTGCACAGTATGTAAAAAAAACTATAACCATACCTCATATCGGTTATTATAAACACAGCCTTGCTTTTGTTATTATCAGCATTGATTTGAGTTTGCACAATCTCAGTAACTCCTCCAACAACATCTAAGCAAGATCAAATTTCAAAAGTTATCAAACATCCAAGGAATCAACGAAATAAGGTAATATAAAGATATGAATAAACGTACCAACCAACAAATTAGACTGAAACTTTTCATCAACAATGGTGTCCAACCCAATAATGTTTAAAAAATTTACAGGAATGTCTGGTAATTCTGTTTTCCTAATAAAAGTTGAACCACAAAAGACCAACTTGAAACCATGAGTACTTGATTTGAATGAGAAATCATTATTCGAGACTTTGAAATTCTGCATTATGTATGACCCTCCAATAGCAAGTTCAGCCAAGTATCTTGACACCAAAGGCGGTGGGACAATGGCTTGAATCATATCCAGCTGCAAAATGTAAAATTAACCGTGGGAAATTAGAACGATTAATTTAAACCTCCAACATTATATATTAACAAAAAAACCCTAATATTTATACATTTGAATCAACCAAAATGAGTTCCAAGTGTTGTTTGTTGGATGAACTTGTCACAGTCCACATATGTTTACAACGAACAGCAATCTTCCACAAATCCTTTGAGTCGTTGATGTCTTTCACAGCTTCAATCGGTCGCGCCATTGATGTTACTATTTAGACCTGTTACAAAATCTGTATTAAAATGGACACAGAGAATCAAAATATGGGAATGAAGAAGAATTGGAAAATAATACGTAACCTTTTGAAAATAATGGAGAATGAAGAAGATTGAGGAGTGAAAGAGTAAGGGTTTAGAATGGCTATATATAGGGTTTAGAATGCATGGGAAGTTGTGATATCTTGGAATATCAAAATAATCCATTCTAATTCCAATAATATACATTTAATCTTGTAGTGTAATGATAAATAGTGGGTATTTTTAAATCATGCAATGAATAATATTCCATTTAATTATAATAGATCTAATTTGGCCATTCCAATTCCTTCCTCATTAACCGTGAGTCAAACATTAGAATTCAAATTCTGTAAAAAAAAAACATTGGAATTCAAATATAAATAAATTAACCGTGAATGAAACATTGGAATTGGAATTCAAATATAAATAAAATTCAAATATAAATAAAATAAATTAATAAATCAAATAAATAAAAAATAGTGTAAAATTATGATAGATTGACATGTCAGCAAAATTAAATGCCAAATGAATATGGTAACAGCATAGTGTTGATTAGTCTATTATACCCTTAGAATAAGAAAAGTTATAACATCTAATCAAAAGGTTAGACTTGGAATTTCCAGGTACTTTACTTTTAATAGATTGATAATAGATTATTGCATTGACTAAAAGATCATGCATATGTATCATGATGTGAAAGCTAGTATTGAAGAACCAGAAGTTTCTTCAATCCAATAAATTTTGTGTATTTCTTCTATAGGAAAATAAAAATCTGATAAATTGAGTTTTTCATAACATTAATTATTGCATCGACTAAAATATCATGCAAATATTGTCTACTCACAACCAGAAATTTGTGAAATTGTTTTCTCAGACTAAGATATCAATTTCTGAATTTTTCAGAAATTTCTTGATAAGTATCACGTATATTATTAAAATTGATGTTGAACATCATGTAGTATATATTCATAAAAAATGAACTTGAAGATTCATTCTTTAGACATCTAAAATTAGTTATATGGTTGATACTTACGAGATCATCAATTCTAAATTAGATATTCGCAACACACAAAATATGATATTAAGATATTTATTCTCATTAAGCCAATATATTAATATTTGTTAATTCTCTCCATTAACTTACAAATATTTTAGGTTAATAACCTAATACTTCTCATCTAAGTAAATTTTTGGATATGTTATGTATAATTCAATTGCTCTAATATATAGTACACTAAGATGAGTTTTAAAAGAATGTTGAGAAAATTTATTTTATATGAATATCATATTTGAGGTTTTATCTTGGTCCGATAATTGGATATGTGCTTGAAGTCCAATAGGCTGATTATCAATTGATAAATTAACTTTCCCAACATTAGGAGGAGAGAATAAGCAGCTCAATGTGTGAGCCAGAAGTTAAAATAAACAATTTGAAATAATATATTATTATATTATTTTGATCCTCAAAGTTCAAAACACAATTAATTTGCAAAGTCTATGAAATAAATTATCAACTATTAATACTCCACCCAAAGTAGATTTTTCTATTGGACAATCTAATATTGCAAATGAGTTATAGTTGCATCTGAAGCATGGTATGAAAGTCGGTTCTAATGTTAAAAGTTCTCTACCAAGAAAAGAAACTAAAGTTAAAGATGATCCAAGTGAGGATATAAAAATTCTAAGAGAACGTTGATATAATTTACTTTTCAGTTCCACAATAACTAATCAAGTACTTGAAATATGAAATAAAGAGATCTCAATAAATTATGTAATGAATGAAATGTGATGGAACCGAAATTGAGATAACAAAAATAAAGTCAATATTGACAATTTCTTTGTATACAATATAACGCTAAAAGTGATCAATGATAATGAGAATCATGAGTCTAAGTCTATTAAAGATTGTAGACAAAGTGAGAATTGACCAAAATGAATATATTCAATTGAAGAAGAATTAAATTCACTTTACAAGTGGCTCGGTTTTGGACTTACACTCAAAACACCTCAAGGTGTAAAATTAATGAGATATAAATGAGTTTTTGTGAAAAATAAAAATAAAAATGGTATAAAGCTTAATTTGTTGCTCAATGATTTTCACAAAAACCTAATATTTATTTTGATGAAACATATCCATCTGTAGTGGATGTAATTCAATTTTCGATATTTAATTATCCTTGCAGCATATGAAAGACTTAATTTGGACATGGTGGATATGGTAAAATCTAATTAGCATGACTCACTTGATAGTGACATTTAGAAACTCCCTAAAGGGTTTAATATACAAGAGATACATAATTTTGGATCTCGAGAAAGTTAGTCCACCAAATTGAACAAGTATCTCTATAGGTTAAAACAACATGGACAGATGTGATATGACTGTCTCAATGAATATTTTCTAAGGGAGAGATATACAAACAAATTCATATGTCCTTGTATTTTTGAAAAGATCTAGAAAAATAATTTTCTATAATAGTTGTCTACGTGGATGCCATAAAATTATTGGAACTCCTGAAGAGATTCCAAAAGTTATAAATCTCTTAAAGAAACAATTTTAAATAAAGGACATGGAAAAGACAAAATTATGTCTAGATTTATAAATTAAGCATTTGGACAATAGAAAAGACTAAGGTGTTTAAATATTCATATATAGACAAATCTTGTATGTCGTGTACCCCAATGATGTTCGATCATTGGATGTGTAGAAGATTCTATTAGACCTCGAGAAGATGATAAAAACTAATTGATCCTGAAGTACCATATCTTAGTGTCATTCAAGAACTGATCTATCTTGCTAATTATACAGACCACGATATATCAATTTCTATTAATCTATTAGCATGATACAGTTCTTTACCAATATGAAGACATTGGAACAAAGTCAAACATATACTTCGTTATCTTAGAGGTACAATAGATATGGGTTTGTTTTATACCAAAGTATCCAAATTCGAATTAACAGGTTATGTAGATGCATGTTACTTTTCAGATCCTCACAAATGGTAGACCATAGATATATTATAAATTTACATGTGGTGGTACATCTATTTCACGGAGATAGGTGAAACAAACAATATCAACAACTTTATCTAATCATACATAACTTTTAGCACTACATGAGGCAAGGCAAGAATGTGTTTGGTTGAGATCCTTAATCCGGCACACACAAAATACTTGTGGTTTGTCTCTTGTAAAATAAATACAACGACCATATATGAAGATAATAATGCATGCATCACTCCAAGGGTGGAAAAACGGGTCGTGGCCCTCCGGGCTGGCCCACACACCGCCAATAAATGGCGGGTTCGATTGGGATTTTGGGTCCGCGGCCCACCAAAGCCTGCTCCGTCAAAACCCACCACCCGCCAAAGCTTGCCCCGCAAAAATCCGTCTCCCACTGAAACCCGCTTCGCCGATGCTTTCAGTCTGTCATGCCTTAAGCCCGCTCTTTTTTAGTTAATTCTAATAATTCCAATTTTTGATAATTTTATTTTATATATTTATTTGTGAATATATGCAATATATTTTTAATTACAATTGTTTAAAAAGATGCTTTATAAAAAATAATTCTAAAAAATAAGTGAAAAATCTAATTGAAATGTAAAAAAAAATCTATTAAAATATTAAAAGAATAAAAATAAATTAATAAATAAATAGGCGGACAAACCTATCACCCGTCAATCCACCACCTTTGCAGGAAGAGCTATATTTTTATGACCATTTCTACTTGGAGGGTTTGCCCACCCCGCTCTTTTTTTGGCGGGCTTAAGGCGGGGAGGGGAGGGGCGGGGCAGGCGACCAGTTTTACCACCCCTATATCCCTCAATTGAAAGATGGGTACATTAAAGGAGACCGAACAAAACACATTTCTTCAAAGTTCCTTTTCACTCATGATCTTCAGAAGAATGATGATATAAATATCTAATAAATTCGTTCATATGATAATGTTGCAGATCTTTTCACAAAGTCACTCTCAAGTAGAACTTTTAATCAACTAGTACAAAAGATTGGTCTTCAACATCGAAGAAATGGTCGTTTAGCTGAGAGGGGAAATGAATTTATGTTAAAAGGATATTGTACTCTTTTTTCTTCACTAGATTTTTTTCCATTGGGTTTTTTCTAATAAGATTTTAATGAGGCATATCCAAAACAAACATCCAAAGAAGAGTGTTATGAATAATTAGATGATTGTTTCCCAATGATTTTATTCTTTATTTATAATAATTTATATTTATTATATTGTTTCTATGTTATCCTATAAATAGGACCAATCTCATTGTAGAATGGCACATCAATAAAATAATATAGAATTATTCTCATCTTTCTCTCTTCTTTTTTATCTTATTTGTCCTTATTTCATAACAATGACTTTCACTTCATGAAAAGTAATAATATTAGTATATATTTTTTAAACAATAAAAAAATAAAGTGTAAAAATTATTTAAATTTGCGGAGTGAAAAAAAAAAGAAAATTTGTCTATTATAAATTTTTAGTAAATTTTTTTTTAAAAAATTTAAGAAGTGTTTTAGTGTAAATTTTTTTATATTAGTTGTATTTTTTCATATAAAAAATAGAAATAATTTAATCACTTTCGTTTTACGAAAATTAACAATATATATTTCTAACTCAATAAAAAATAAAGTATAAATATTAATTTAAAAAAAAATAATTTGTAAAAGGAAAGTGTAAAATATTAATTTTAAAAACAAATTGCATTAGTATTATGCCGTAATAATATATATATATATATCCATATTTCATTCATAATTAATGATTTATTATTTATTTAAAATAAAAATAGACAATTAAGATTATTTAATGTTTGAGATATGAGAGAGAATAATGAAGTTATTATTTTGTGTTAATTAAGGATTATTTAAATTATTTTATACATATTACGAATACAATTCAAAATAATAAATAAATATTATAATTAACTATTTGATTGAATATTAAAGTGAATAA